ATAACACTAAGAAAACTACCTACAAATGATTTTTTCCTATTTTAAATATCCTTAAAGATGAAAATATCCTTCATTTATTATAGCTTGTTTTGCAAGGGGCAAAACAAGTAGGTCTTCCACGTTCAGGCCTTGGCGTGATTGGAACAGCTGCCAAAAGACTTTATTTATTAACAGGAAACAAATGAAAGGAAGTGATAAAAGCCAATGTTAGCCATTCAGCCAAATAAACAAGGGATACCCTCCAAAACAATACGACCGGACAACATTTCACAAAAAATTTGAACAAAGTCCGCAGAGAGCCATGGGTGTGAAAACAACTTGTATTGATTTAGTGGGGAATTTGAGAAGCAGTTGAGTAGAACCTGCAAAGTCTAAAAGCCGAGGTAAGAGGTTAAAAAACATATTTTGTTTTGAATTTGGGTTTTCTTAGGAGGCCACAACATACATCGACCATAAATAGGACACATAAATGGCTGCTGAATCTAGAACTGTTGAATGGACTGTAATAGTATTGTGTTTAGCGGTCTGTGTCAGGCTGTAATGCAAAAAAGAGAGGCTTGGATTTCAAAAAAATATTACAGCAGACCAGTGATGATTAATTTTCCCTCATAAGCCAAGTATGCAACAAGAGCTAACAGTGTCCAGTGCCAAGCTAATACGCCTCTACTGTCAATTTCAATGTTTTTGCCTCTTTTCTTTTAATAAATATGCAGTCAGACTCGCACACCCTAGACAAAACATGCTTATGCTATGTGACAAGAACCATGTCAAAGTCTCCACAGCACCTTTAAAAGAAATGCTACTTTGATTTTTTCCCCACCTACTCCTCCATTTAAGGGCAAAAGAGAAAATATAATTATTCCCCTTCAATAAAATGAGTCATTTCTTGTGTGGGGAAGTCTGTTCAGCTGTTCCTTCATTACTAAATGGAACACAGTGATGATCTAAATTGTAATTAAGGACATGGTGTGGAGCAAATTTCACTGCTAGAATGATCTAACAGAGCCCATATGCTGAAGTGGAGATGAGAAGCCTGTCTGTGTTTGCTTAGCACGTTCAGGCTGTTCATCGTGCTGACAGAGAAGCCTAATCTCACCTTGCGCTGACGGAGGTGAAATAAGACAGCCTTGATGGTGTGACAAACTCGTTCATGATAAAATATCACTAAGGTCGTTGGGTAGGAGGAATGTAGAGCCATTCTGTAAACTGGACTGCTTGTGAATATCTTTAAAAGGTCAGCATGACGGTCCAGCTTTTCTTTAGATAAGCTATGTCACCTTCAGTGCCACGCAAGTATCTTAAATCAACAGAATTGTTCAAGGTTTGATAGTAAACAACCTTCCAGGGCCACGGCGCAAAACATGGCCGCATCCCGAGAGTAGAATTATCTTGTCATCTTGTCACATTGAGCGATATAATTACTCAACTCATACTGTACATATGTAACATTTAATTTGACTTCGTGTGTTAGATTAGTTTATATGTCTTAGATTTATCCAATAAAGCCTTATTTATATGGAAAAGAGAAGTATCTTGTGTTTTGTGCTCACAAGTTAATGTCTTAAACTGCCGATCTTGTTACTGTGCTAATTAATAGTGTTTTCACTATATTTTGGATATTGATATCCATTGCAGAATTGCTGTCATACGGCTCGTTCACTGAATCGCAGGCCGTCTCAGTGATCTGCCGTAAAACAGTGATTCTGTCCTAATTCCCTTGCATATTAATGGTGGAGTTCCCTTTAAAATCTTAAATGATTCCCTTTGAGCTAAATTATTGACCTGTTTCCCTTACATCAACTTCAAATACTTTAGATGCCTAACTAAATGTACCATTCCCCTGAATTAAAAATACTAATTTTGGGTGGTATTTCTACAGCACCAGCCATGTGATGAGAACAAAAAACAGGGAGAAGAGAGATCAGAAAATGACACAGGCTACATTTACAGCGATGGTCTAGTGGTTAGTATACATCAAGCTGTGGACTTATACAGGTGAATTAAAAGGATAGTTCAACCAAAAATTTAAATTAGTCCATGATTAGCCCATGATTTACTCACCCTGAGGGCATCCTAAGCGTATCTGACATTCCGCTTTGAGACTAACACAATCGCAGTTATATTTAAAATTGTCCTGGCTCTTCCAAGCTGTATTAATGGCAGTGAATGGTGCCCCTGTTCTTGAAGCCTAAAAAACTGCATCCATCCATCATAAAACTACTCCACACGGCTCCGGGGTGTTAATAAAGGCCTTCTGAAGCGAAATGATGCGTTAGTGTGAGAAAAATATAGCTAAAAAAAATTTTTTATTTATAAACCGTAATCTCCAGCTTCTGGTCGCTCAAGCAGGCGCATTCACGAAAAGACGTTCGAGCCTAAGACGTAGGCGTAGCGGAAGCTCCGGGGAGAGAGTGACGAATGCGGAAGTACAGAGGAGAAAGCAAAAAAAAAAAAAAAACCTGTCATGAACTAGTACTACAAACCCAGCCAATACAATACCAGAAACTCCGCAAGATGGAGGAGACTGTAGCGGTGCCACAAACTACAGATGTAGTTCATGTGATTTCCCTGTGCTGTAAACAAAACTTGGTTCTCGCGAGACTACACTCTTCTCCCCGGAGCTTACGTTGCGCCTTCCGCTACGCCTATGTCATACGCTCGAACGCCTTGCCGTGAACGCGCCTACTTGAGCAACCGGAAGCTGGAGATTACGGTTTATAATTTTTTTTTAATCGATATTTTTCTCACACTAACGCATCGTTTCTCATAAGAAGGCCTTTATTAACACCCCAGAGCCATGTGGAGTAGTTTTATGATGGATGGATGCAATTTTTTAGGCTTCAAAAACGGGCACCATTTACTGGCATTATACAGCTTGGAAGAGACAGGACAATTTTAAATATAACTGCGAAAGTGTTTGTCTGAAAGAGGAATGTCAGATACTCCTAGGACCCTGAGGGTGAGTAAATAATGGGCTCCCTTTAATGTGTCAGAAAGGCCTAAAAAGTACCATGTTATAGGGACAAAAAACATCTTAGTTAAAGGAATATTCTGGTTTTGTTTGCTTCTTTGTTGACTTTCAGCTCTATAATGGCAAAAAGGTTATTCTCATAGTGAGCACATGTTAATAAAACATATACAATTTGTAAAACCACATAAGATAACAGATTAAAACAAGATCAAACTTCTAAAATGAGTTTAGGTGATACCCAGGTATTGCCATCAAACACATTTCTGAGTAAAACTGCTGTCTGACTGTATCTAAAGCGATGAATATTACAGGTTAAACGCAAGATAAACTTAAGATACTGACAGCATTTGTGTTATGCTGTTGATCACCACAGAAAATAATTGACTAACCATACAGTTAACAAGCAAGTAAATGAGTAAACAAATAAGTAAACAATTACAAAATTAAATAATTGAACTAAAAATAAATAACTCAGTAAATAAACAAACAAAATAAGTAAATATAAACTTTGTAAGTGGCATAAATAGAGCTTAACTTGTATTTAATCCAAAATAATCCCTTAAGAAATGAATATTTAGGTAGTGAATTTGAAGGTCAGCTGTGAAACCCAAGACAGAAGAACAATCCAAAAATGTCTGGAAAAAAGTACCAAAAATACTTAAATTAGAAAAAGGGGACACTGTTGGTTGAAACATCAAATTATAAAAACACTGCCAAGAAAAGCCTGTTCCACAAGACTCTCCTCTTGAAAAGCCGACAATGTGAAACCACAAAGCAGTGAACAACCACAGAGCTCAGTAGAAGAGAACAACATAAATTGAGCTCCACATAACTCTGGCACATATCTGAGGCTTGCACAAAAGCAGCCATTACTCTAAAGGAACTATGCAAAGCATGTCCGGAGTTTGCCACAAATGCCCACGTAACACAGCTGTGACGAAAGAAAAGAGTTTGCGGTCAGATGACATGATGATAGAGCTTTTCCAAAGTACGTGTAAAGCACAATCCTCCCCACAAACATCACACCACGCCTACAGTGAGTCATGCTGTGGGGATCCATCTCAGCTAAATATTTAAAGCTTTCATTGCTGAAAGGGATTCAACTACGTTTTAAACATGAAATATGCAACAGATTTCAATTTAGTTTTCTGGTAAATAATAGTTTCTAATATACATACCGTATTGACCCAAATATAAGACAATGTTTTTTTCTTGGAAATACATCTGAAAAGTCATCTCATATTCAGGGTCTAGACTTTGACATGTCAATAATACACCCACAACAATAGGTGGTGCCAAATACGCATAAAACGAGTGTGCCATGAAATATGTAATGTAATGCGTGTTGTAATGATCGCGAGTAAGAACAAAAGGAAAAGAAAACCTTACAGCTGCATGAGTCGTGACTGTCACGTTAGCCTGATGGGACCAAACTCCCTTTGTGATTTTAAAACGCAAGACAGTACCCAGATTTGAAGACTACAGTAAGATTTTACTTCTACTGATAATAAGATTTTGGTAGGCTACTATTAGATGGATAGCCTAAATGTCTTAATTCAGATGGGCTACCTGTTTTTTTTTTTTTTTTTTAATGGTATATCAAAAAGTGTATATTTTTTTTATGTGATTGTTAGTACATTTTACCAGTTTTTACCATACTTTCAAAACAAAAATTAAAATAGGAAAAATATGCAATATGAAAATAATTGAAGACAAAATGTGTTTTACTGAGAAAAAACAAGATTTGGTTTTTAAAAAGCCTTTTTCCAAAAGGTACATTTGGAAAAGGGGGGGGGGTCGTCTTTTAATCAGGGTCGTCTTATATTCGGGCCAATACGGTAAATTAAAAGTCAAATTGAGTTTCAGTGCTTTGAAATAAAACAAAAACAACTATAATGTAATTCAGTTCAATTAAAAAACTGGTACATGTTGAAAAATTACTCAGACACGTAGACAGTGTTTCCTGCATATGGCACAACTGCATAAAGTGGTCGTGATTGTTTGGGTGTAGATCTTCACTGCTTCTTACCCTCGACAGGTGAGGTCTTGAGCCTGCGGCAGATCCCTTGCACGTCTCCATAGCATTCTGCAATCTTGTTGACCGCCTCGCCACTGCGGAGCTCCATCAGCTCACGGAGCTGCATCGTCGTGCAGCCAAAGTCGCCTTCGTGGTCGACCTCTGCGACCGAGTTCCCCGGCGGGTGGTCTGCAGTGTTGTTAGCCATTTTGACTCGCTGAGTTTCAGTCACGCCTCAGGACGTGAGACTTCGGCTCAATCCACTTGTAAACGCAAGCCTGGGTGATGAAGGAATGCTTCAGGTAGGTGATACAGTGTTCACAAGTTCAAAGAGTCTTTCTGTGCGTTTGCCGGGACGTTGAGCAGAACTGTTTTGAGAGCGAATGCACATCAGAGGAAGCGTTTCTGAAGGGGATGATCCAGGTCAGACATGTTACGGCAGCAGCAAGGCATTAAAGGGATGTATTGTACTCAAGATGTACCACAGAGAAACTGAAATAGAGCAAGAAACAGACAGGATTTAAATTATTTTGCAAATCAATGGAAAAATTGCCTAATTTTGAACATTTTGTGACAGAACAGACAGGAAATGTTGACAACATCTAAATGACTAGAACCACTTGTGCTTGTGAATGAAGCATCATGTTGTGATAGAACAGCAGAAAAAAGACAAAATGTTACGAAATACAGAGCTGCTTCTTTCATTTTTTCCCCCACACAGCAGTTCTACAACTTCAGGGTTTGCCATACATTGATTTATTTGTGGCGGCCCGCCACAATATCAACACTGACCGCCACAAATAGATTTTCCAAAATGCTTTGACTTCGCTGAATAAACATGAGCTCTGCACGTTTCAATCAAAACAAGGCACGGGTGTTTTTATATGAATGTATCGTTTTTGAAGGGAACCGATTGTCTTCAGAAAAGTTTTGATGTCCTTTTAATTTCATCTATCCTATAATGCCTGATAAAGCAGCGTTCATGAGCGCAGCGCTGCTTTGATTACAGATATTACCGTTTACCACAAGTGTTTACCGTTTTGCCGCTGGTCTCCAAGCCCACAGAAGGGGGTAGGGGGAAACACAGACGTAGAAAGAGAAAAAGAGAGGGCACTGGGTGTAAAATAAGCTAAAAAAACAACAAAACAACTCTACCCGTATCTGAGATAAGGGGTCTGTGTCAATGTGAGATAGGAGAGCTTCCAACTCTATCGGGTTTTCTTATGCACACGGGATATGAAAAATAGAGGTCACTCTTTGATGTGTGCTTGCAGTGATCCAAGATGACATTTTGGACTGGGATTCATCTACTCGCACTATGGCCAATTTCTCATTATCACACTTGTACAGTCAGTGATGGTAGCCATAAAAGCGAAGCACTGGATACTGGAAAGCCCTGAGGTGGATTTTAACCAAGATTGGATTATTGTCCACTCCTCCTTCAGTGTCAGTAAAGCTTCAGCCTCTGTACACTGCACTGACCTCTTAACTTCTAAAAGAGGAGACTTCAGCCCATAGTAGTTTTATTCTGATCAAAGTGACCTGATTCTGTTTAACTGTTGAGGTCGATGATTCTCACCTCTCTTTACTATTATTTTAACCTCTTATTTTATTATTCATCATAGTTTAAAGCACCTAAAGTGAGGTCTGATTTTAAAAACATATTCATTGTTCTGTGTGTATGTGTTTGCGCAAACCACATTAGTCAAGTCAGAATACAGTTTACTGAATTTAGTTCTAACATTAGTACTAATGTAATGGATGTCTGTAAATGTCGAAATGTGTAAATGCCACAAGAACAAGCACTACAGTGTTTCCAAACAAATGTCATCCATTGCCCAAGGCATTAAGAGAGAGGCCATTACCGAGCCTTCAGATTAGCAGAGCACATAAAATGTTTGAGTGCTTCTGTGGAGAAGAAGAAGGGGAAAAAATATATAAAATCTATAAAGCAATGTCACATGCCATGCTGAAGAGGACCCACCCAAAATAATCTTTGATAACAGGAATGGACAAGTGTTTTTAAAATACTTCTATGTAGCTGCTTGGGTTTTCTTCCACCCCATAAAATTAACATGAACTAACAGTGAATAACTGTATTCTCATTAACTAACATTAAGAAAGATTAATCAATACTGTAATAAATGTATTGTTCATTGTTCGTTCATGATAGTTAATACATTAACTAGCATTAAATAATGGAACCTTATTGAAAAGTGTTACCTTAATATTAAATATAAATATATTGTTTTTATTCACTTCTATGTGACATAATCAGATACAAGTTGTTGTTTTTTTTGACTAATTATCCAAATAATGTATAGTCCTACAAAGCTATTATTATCAGAGCATATGAGCAGTGCATAGCAGAGTAGAGCATAGCGTCACTAAAGGTAGCATTATTTTACAAGTGTTGCCCAGTACAGCTGAACTAGCCTTCACCACGTTACAGCACAGTAGTACTATTGCAAACCAAAACAAGTAGGCCTATACTGCATAGAAATTTCCTGTCAGCACATTATTTGAGTGAACTTTGCTTTTCTGATGAGCATGAGCGATGTACACATTCGTAGATCTGAATATTGAGCGGAGAGTGAAACATGCGCGCTGAACACTGCCGGGCGGGGTGGGGCGGGGCAGGGCGGGACACACCATATATATTATTATTATTATTATTATTATTATATGTAGCCTATATTTTCGGTGCATCCCTACTTACATCCTGTCCTTGTTTACAAATCCAAAGTAAGTCCATACATCCGATTTAAACACGGACAGGGCTTTCCTGATAAATTTCTGCAATGCCGCCCTCTTTATTTTACTAACTTACTGCATGCTGAAGGTGACCCAGCTGACCTCACCAGAAAAAAAACTCAACACCACCATCTAGTGGATTGTAAAGAAATTGATTTTATTATTCTACCAAATAGTATAATAAAAGATCTATACTTGGCGTCCGTGTATCGATACAGTATTGCCACGGAAAATATCGCGATACTATGCTGTATAAATGTTTTCCCCCACCCCTAATAAGCAACAATATTCCATGCATGCAAGTCCATGCATTTATTTGATCAAAAATACAGTAAAACAGCAACGTTGTGAAATATTTGTACAATTTAAAATTACTTTTCTATTTCCCTTTTATTCCTGGGACATCAAAGCAGTATTTTCAGCATCATTACTCCAGTCTGCACTGTCACATGATCCTTTAGAAATCATTTTACTATGCTGATGTGATACTTAAGAAACATTTATTATTATTAATGTTGAAAACAGCTGTGCTGCTTAAAATTTTAGTCAAAACTGATTAATTTTTTTCATGATTCAAAAAAAGAAACCTTAAAAGAACAGCTTTTATTTGAAATTCTAATCTTTTAAAGATCATAAATGGCATTACTGCAATGTTTGATCAATTCAATTCATCCTTGCTAAACAAAAGTAGGCTATTACTTTCTTTAATACACACACATACACATATATATATATATATATATATATATCTCTTTAAAATATAAAATATTTATGTATCTATACATGCATAGATACATACATACTGACCCATAACATTTCACATTTACACATTAAAGGGATAATTTACCTGAATGTGTTTTGCAACATGAAGAATTTAAAAAACACTGGCAATGTATAAAAGGTGAATAAACGATTATATAATTTTCATTTTTAAGTGAGACATCCCTTTGAGTACTTAAAACTCTCATCTTTTGATATACAAAGACAGCTAAATCCACTACAGGAGGAAGAGCATCTTCTTATAGGGGTTTTAAGACTGAAAAACCCCACCTAGCAAAGTTTCTCAGACACATTCTCTGTAGATCTAGACTGAAGACTCATCTGTTTAGTCAGACATACAGTTAAATTTGCACAGTCTGTTTCTAATCCTGCTAAACTAGTTTTCTCATTACTTTTCTCCACTCACACCTTGGAACACCCATTCCAATGTTTACCAGCCCCTGTAATGCCCAGACCATCAACCCAACACCCATCAACCCCTTACCTGGTTCACTAATGTGTCTGTATATTGCCCAAAATCTTATTCTATTAAAAACATAATAGAACTTATGAACAATTTACAGTTCTTAAAATGGTTGAGTGGTGAAGGTAAAGAGAAGTTTTACTGACTTCATTCTCAAGGCTCCAGACTGCGATCAAATGGTCGCATTTTGCGACCATTTTTTCTGCCGGTGCGACTAATTTTTGTGAACGGTCGCACTGGCGCGACCACCGCGTTGTCCAACTCATAAGTGCTGCCAATTCTGTTGCAATTGAGAAACAGCAAACGAAAAGAAAGCGAAACCAAACCGTGCTAAGTTTCAGCTGCGCAGCACGGACCGCGACACAAACAACCTTGTCCGAGCTCAGAACAGCTATACTCGGGAACCAGTTGATTTTGCGAAACTGTTACAGCACAGCGCAGCGAGAAGCGTTTGAACTCACCGCACAATGATAAGGTTGCTGCGAGATCTAGTGAGAATCATTCAAATTCTGCACAGAATTCTTTGTTATAAACAGCGCTGACATATGTCAGGAAACCAGAAGCGGTAACGCTAACTGTAACCATGGTGTTGTGGTAAAAATAGTCGAATGCATTGCATTACATTATTCATTTCAGGGTTTGTACAGCCTTTTGAGAGAGAAATTCAAGCACTTTTCAATGACTTTCAAGCATTTCACACAACTATTTCCAGCACTTTAAAGCTATAAAATGATCCAGTTTGAATGTTATTTTTAATGGGATGACCAAAATATACTTTGTGGTAAACAAAGAATTTAACAAAGAATTAAAAAAATACATCAAATCACAATTATAACCAGTAGACGGCAGCAGAGGAGCACGCATTGGCTTATTAGTCATTCATTTCTACTTTTTCTCTATATTTTGAAATTATAAAATCACTATTATAAAATATCAAATCATCAA